CTTTGAGCAACCTGGTCTGGTGGGAGGTGTCCCTGCCCATGGCAGGGGTTTTGGAACTGGATGGGCTTTAAGGTCCCTTCCAACCAACCCATTTTATGATTCTATGGCTGTGTCTCAGAGGTGCTCATGGTCCTCTGCCTGGGGGGGAGAGTTTCTTCCAGAGAGAGGAGCCACAACCCCACTTGGGTCTGAGGGTGGAGGAGGAGCAGAGGGATGAAGTTGGGGGACTGTCTCCATTAACATAGGGATTCAGAAGAAAAACATACAGAGATGGCATGTTACCTCCGACGGCAAAGGAATGGGACAACTCTCCTCGTTCTCAGACACATTCAGGGCAGAGGTCCACATGGTCACGGCCATCTCCCTTACAGCCATGGCAATGAAAGAGGCAGGTGCAGCACAATTCCTCTGACCTATTTCAGAGATCAGCTTTAGGTTGGGATGAATACTGCCCTAAAATCACTGTTTTTCTCCATGGATATGAAGGCACTCTGGAGGACTAGCTCCAGTCATAGACTGACACCACGTCTACAACTGCCACCTGTGTTTGTTTCGATGAATCCCACCAAAATGTCATGTTTAGTCCTCACTTCTACATTAATTTAAAAATTAAACTCAGTGAAATGCATTCAGTTTCAAAACTGGTTTGAAAGTGTCAGTCCTTACGTCAAAAATATTTTTTCCTGTCTTTGTGGTGTTTATCCGACTTTCTGCTGCACTCTTCCCTCACATCTTGAAAAAACAGTTGACAAAATGTTTCTGCTATCCTGAATTGGCATTTTTTTGCTATACTGAATTTGCACATTTTGGCCTTATGCTGCCTGGGGCTCTGTGAGGGAGTCTGGTGGGGGCAAGGACAGCTGATGCCACGGCACGGCCCTTTGTCCTGAGAGCCAGGAGGGGCTTCAGCTCCTGTTTTTTTGAAACCACACCTGCACTGCTCCAGGCAGAAACACAAAGAAGGTCTTTCATTCTGCTGGAGACAACTTGCGCAGCCCATTCCCATCCGGCTTGGTCATCTAGCACCTGCCATTCGTTAAAGAAATTAGATGAGAGAGAATTGACTTGGGACTACGGCTGTTACCGTCCAGCCTCCTCCCTGAGGTTATTACAGAAGGTGCCTGGAGAGGACTCGTGCTCTTGGGAATCTCCATCCAGGAGACTCCTGCCGGCATTGCCTGCGGTGATTTATGCACAGCCCTGCAGCTCTGCCCTTGTGCACAGGAGACGTCTCTTTCTCGGCATGAGCATCCCGGAGGGTGGCAGCTGCCTGCAGGCAGAGAGCAAGGTGGGTGGCTCTATGGCAGGACTGGCATCAGCCAGGGCACCACAGGCTGCTCCAGGTGCCTAAGGACGGGAGGCTGGTGGGACTTCAGCATCTGGCCTGTACGCATTCACGATGGGACTCAGTTAGGAAAAAAGGCAATTGGTGGAAAAAGATTTTCTAAAAGTAGTTTTTTTAAAGTTTAAAGTTTCTTGTTAAATGAAACTGCAGACCCAAGGCTGCAGAATTCTGATTTTTTAAAGTTTTTTTAGGTGAAAACAGGACTTCAGTTTAAAAAAGTAAACAAATATATACCAAACCTTTTAACCAAAACCAGAAATTGTTTGCTATAAAAGAGTAAGCTTGTTTCTGTTTGTATAAATCAATAATTAGCTAAATACACGTTTTCTGTAAAACAAACTAGATTTTCAGCCATGGATAATGTTCTTAATCCCTTGCATACAACAGCAGGTATCTGACTAGAAAGCTATGAGCACGCAGCCGGGGGGTCCTCACCGACCGGCAGAATTTGGTGACACAGGCTGGGTTATGTCACACGTGGTGCAGCTCACTTGGGATGGGGTGGAGAGGTGAAGGAGGCAGGCAGCCCCTTGGCCCGGGATCCCGACCCAGCTGGGAGACAAAGCATTATTTTGGGGAGGTATCCTGCATCCGCGGTGCAATTCGTGGAGGAGGAGCGAGCACCCCAGGGGCACACACCGGACCAGCTACACGCTCATCGGTCAGGGCACGGTCTGGAGCTGGAGCTCTTGTCTTCAACGTGAGCAAGTGTCCTAAACACAGTGCCAGCAGCCAGGCTGGGCAGCGCTTGCCTTCGTGTCCCATCCTGAAATAACCTTGGTTTATCGCCGTAGGAAGGTATGTTTGAAGCATGCACTATGCTGCAGTGGGCAATTCCCCACTGCTGCCAAGGTGTCGGTGATGAGAAGGAAAGGGGTGCAAGGGTTGAGGCGGGGAGGGCTCAGTCTGGAAGATGTGACAAAGCAGACATACAACGGCACAGGAGAGCGCAGGGACCGTTCCTTCAATCACAAGGATCTGTGTCCAGCACTAATTAACTGACAGGAGTAAACTAGGCGGAAAAAAAGTTGGTGGTGCCTCGGAACCAGTGGCGGTGATCTTAACGCATTTCAGCCTACAGTACCGATTTTTCATTAAACTGCCATTGTCCCAAAGCTGAAGGAACTTAAAGTCTGAGGGAATTTAGACAAGGAAACTGCAGTTAGGAGGTGTTTTGAACAAGCTGAGCTAATGGCCAAGCCTGCTCCCCTGCGCGCTTCCACAAAAGGTCAGCTCTGGTTAAGAAAGGGAACGGAGCACGGAGAGCTCCAGCTAAAGCAGCGTGGGCAAAGTGAGACGGGGAACTGGTCAGGATCTGGTGGGAGTTAGAAGCTGTTAAGTAGAGAAAGCAGACAAAAGCAGACAAAGGCATCTGCCCCTCTCCATGGAGAAGTCCATGCCCACCTGAGAGAAAGGCGATCGGAGAACTTTATTTTTTAATGTAATTTAATAGATTGGTAGCTGAGAAGGATGTTAAGTAGCTCTGCTAAGAACAGAAAACAAATATAGCAGCAGGTCTGGGCAATTTGCACGAGGGAAAAAGCATCTCTGAGTTGGCCAAGGAAGTCTTTGGCCTGTTCTGCCAAACTTTTATGAGTCCTGGCATGCTGCGGTGACTGCAGACGCTTCCTCGGGCCATTACTTTAGCGAGAAAATGCAATGATGTGATTAGCTGCAGATTGCTTAGCCTGACGTCAATGCCTAGCAGAAAGCCCAAGAAGTTAACAGGAGATTTGGTCAATAAAGAATTAAAGGATTGGAATCAAATTAAATTATGGCAATCAACGTGGATTTGCAGGAAACAGCTCTTGTCAAACAAACCTGATTTCATTTTCTGATGAGCTAGCAAGTTTAGTTAATCAACGTGTGCATGTTTGTCTGTTTGAGTACAGTACACAGAGTTATCTAAAAGAAATGTTCCTCCACCACGCTGCTGTCAGGTGAGGAGCTGACACAAAGCAACATCTGTGAAGCATCAGCGAAGTGGATGAAGAACTGGATGATTAAGACACCTCGAAATGAAGCTGTCAGAACCATCATCACACAAAGCTAGTGTTCCTGCAGGGGTGTCACAGTGGCTGGCTCCAGACTAGAAGTTATTCTGTACGTCTGTCATCAGTTGTCCCAAAATCAGCACCAATTGTGTCTCAAATAATGCCGGGGAAAGGCAAGTCCCGCAGAGCAGTCGAGAGAGATCGGCAGGCTTGGTCGTTCGAAAGAACTGCCTGCAATAAGGTGAACACCCGGGTAAGGAGAGCCGGGCAGGTTTTCAGGTGCAGCACCGTACCCTGGAGAACAGAGGCTCTGGAAAGCAACTGACAGCAGACTGAGAGGGCAACACTGGGACCCAACGGGGTAGTGCAGTTTTGGATGCATAAGGGAAATGGAAGAGGTTATATTTTTTTTGAAAAAAGTGTTGAAATCTTGGAGATTTGCAAAAAAAACCCCAACCTCTCAATAAGACAGATAGTGGAACAGGTGAGTGGCGATGAGAAACTTGCAGAGCTCTAGGTCTTTAGTTTATCAAGAATAACTCCTCGATCATGGGAAGGACATGCTTTCACGCAGTGGAGGTACCCTGCCACAAAGGGCTCCCCGGCCAAGCATGGGAAGGCAGAGGGGGGTGCTGTGGCTGGGAGGAGTAGACAGGCGACGTCAAACGGGAAGAAAAACATGTGGTTGTAACCATGAGGATGATTAGCACCTGAGGCAAAAATCAAGGGATGGAGGTTCTCCATCTCTAGACGCCCACAAGCCTGCACTAGTGCAATTTCTTCCAGGAAAGCAATCTTTAGCAATCCCATGTTATTGGGCTCCAGGGAGGAAAAAATGTGTGTAACTCTACCGTTTTTGACAGGACAGTGTTCTGCATTAGTCTGGCCTTCAGTCTCATGGATGGATGAGTGTGGTGGAGGGATAGCAGCATTTTAATCGTACCCTCCTTGACTGTGGCTAGCAGCTAGAGGCTGTCAATGATGCTTGTGTCCCTTTAGCGTCGCGTGACCTCTTGGAGCATCATTTTTCTGGCTGCGGTTTCTCTCAGCCCACTTTCACCACGGAGATGTTGTCTAGGTGCAGCTTCTGCATGACCCAAAGCAGCAACAGGATGGAACCTGTGTGACCTGGACCCGTCTGCCCAGTCCCCTCTCTGAGCAGGGCACAGAGAGGGAGGGTTTGCTTGCAAGTCCTTGCAACAAGTCCTTGCCCTGCCATTGCACTGCTCGTGAAGGCTGGGCAAGCGCCAGAGAGCCTGGGGTCGTTATGCCCCACTTCTGCCCACTGATAGTGGCAATAGTGGCAGGACTCTGTGGTGCCAGCCTTTAGACAGACATGCATATGGCAAAAGCTAGAGGTAAATCAGAGGGGCTGGAAGGAGAAGCAGAAGGGAAGGTGGCCCCATGTGAGCGATAGGACAGCCAGGACCCTTCAGTGATGTGTCCTCTGGAAAGCACTGACCACAGCATCGGTTTAAAAGCCTGACTGTAGATAAGAGGTTCTGAAAGTTTTTCCCCAAATCCAACAGAATTGTCTGATGCTTGAGAAGTGCAGTGTGTAGTTTTACGATCAAACTGATGGCAGCAAAATCCCAACCTTTCTGTCACTGTTACAGGGAACTAAAGTTGGGAACAAAAACGTGGCTCGGCCCACCTGTGCCATGTCAACCACCAACCGATCCAACAACAACTCTTTGCCTTTTTTCCTGGTTGGCATCCCTGACCTGGAAGCTTTCCACATGTGGCTTTCCATCCCTCTCTGTTTTACATACATCATGACCTTGCTGGGAAATAGCATGGTCCTTCTCGCTGTGAGGCTCGACAAAAGCCTCCATGAGCCTATGTACTATTTCATTTCCATGTTGGCTGTCATCGACCTCATCTTCTCAACTGCTGTAGTTCCCAAAATGCTGGGTATATTCTGGTTGGATTCAAGAGAGATTGGTTTTGAAGCCTGCTTCATCCAGATGTTCTTCATCCACACATTCACTGCAGTGGAGTCAGGGGTGCTCCTGGCAATGTCCTTTGACCGGTATATAGCCATCTGCAACCCCCTGAGATACACCACCATCCTAACAAGCTCAAGGACCATCCAGATAGGACTGCTGTCTCTGGCCAGGGGAGCTGGTGTCATGACACCATTAATGTGCCTCCTCACCAGCTTACCCTACTGCAAAACCAGAGTCATCCCTCATTCCTACTGCGAGCACATGGCCGTGGTGAAGCTGGCGTGCGCCGACCCGTCTGTCAGCGATCTCTACAGCCTCATCGTGGCAACATTGCTGGTGGGGACAGACTCTGCCTTCATCACCTTCTCCTATGGTATGATCCTCAGGTCTGTGGTGAGGCTGCCATCCCACGAGGCTCGTCTCAAGGCCCTCAGGACCTGCGGGTCCCATGTTTCCATCATCCTGCTGTTTTACATAGGTGGTCTCCTCTCCATGTACCTGCAGATGTTCTCTTTCAGCTTGGCACCTCACGTCCAAGTCCTGGTGGCTGATTTCTATCTGACAGTCCCTCCCATGCTCAACACCCTCATTTATGGCATAAAGATGAAGCAGATCCAGGAAAGGATCTTCAAACTGCTGTGTTTCTCAGACCAGTGGATCTGAGAAATGTCGTGGCTACCAGGATCTCCAGGGAGAGGAGTCTGCTTTAACCAAAGGCTACAGTTAGATGTTCACTGCAGCGGTCTCAGGCATCACCTCCCACACCTCTTCGTGCATCTCCACTGTAAAGTCTGACCAGGACCACGTGCACGTCGATGCAAAGGCAACGTGGTACGGTGAAGTGTCGCGAGTCCTCCCGCGGGTGTTTGCAAATCCAGCAAACCCAACGCAAGGCACCGTGAGCAGACCCAAGCACCAGCAATGCAGGAATCAGCTGGAAAGGAGGGACCCAGGATGGGGACGGTGCTCTGCACAGAAGCAACTGCTGCTGCATACACTGAGCTCAGAAAATCACTCGGAAATCTAAAGCAAAAGCTGTTTCCTATTCCTGACATAACCTATGGTTACAGGTGCCAGGAATGATCGCAGATCACTCTAGGAAATAGAGTTACTTCATGAATTCTGCAAAGAGTGAATGCAGATTTATCACCCACTTTGGAGAGAGGGTGGTCTACTCAAGAAGTAAGGAAAAGGAAATGTTTCTTGTAAAATGGGACGCATCCACGCATCTTTGCTTCCTTCCTTCCTTTCTAGATCACCCAAATCTGTCTCAAAACTGACATAAATCACCAGAGCCCCAGTGATACGCATCAGCTGGAAAACTTCAAAGAATCATAGAATCACAAAATATCTTAAGTTGGAAGGGACCCATAAGGATCACCAAGTCCAACTCCCTGTTCTTCACAGGACTACCTAAAACTAAACCACGACTAAAAGTGTCATCCAGACACTTCTTGAATTCTGACAGGCTATTGTATATTGTATATATAACTTGTGTATTAATCTTGGCCGTAAATGTTTAAGTTAGGCGTGTTTTAAAAAGTCTACCAGGATGATGTTCAGCACATGAACAGGTTGCTCGGAAAGGAGGGAATCCACCCCCGGAGAACCTTGGAGAAGCATCTTGCTGATCTTGTTGCAGGGCAGGAGAAAGGGCCAGGCGGCCTCTGGCACTGGGCATGGACCGGGATTAGCTAAGCCCGCAGGGAGTTAATGTTTCGTGTGAGACTGAAACCAGGAGCGTTTGCTGCGCAGAAAAGGACAGAGCGCAGGGTGCTCCCAGCTTGTATGAAAAACCTTCCATACATGTTCTTACAAACTCTCGTTACGTTTCTTATCGCTTCTTCGGTCAGCAAAGCAAACGGGGGGGTTATCACCGCTCAGGACCAGCACCGCTGCCGGTGACGGTGCTGTACGATGTGCTCCCTGCCATCCCTGCCTTAGGAGATGCTTCTGCCTTCGCTGCACACTGCCAGAGGTCAGCGCGTGACTCTCAGAGTGCAAAGGACTGAAAATTAAATGCGATCTTTTCTGCCTCTGCTTCCTGCTCTCTGCATCAAGAACATCTACAGGATGATTTTTGCACAAATAAAAAAAGTTAAAACCCTCAAAACTTCAGTTCCAACAGAAACCACGAGTGAGCTCTCAACATGCCACCTCCCACAGGCAGAAATGCTCAAGCGGTGTGGGTGATGGCAAACTTACCCCTCTGCCCAGCCTGCCATCATTGCCAGCACTCAGCTGAGCCACCAAAATGTCTAAAAGGAAAAAAAAAAACTCAAGATACTATGAACTTGGTCCAGAGCCACTGGCACAGGGCACCACTGGAAAGGGCCTGGCTGCAGCTTCTTTGCACCCTCCC